CTCTTCGACAAGAATAATGTTGAAGTTTTTTTTTACTTCAAAATAAATATAAATATTTTTTAACTTCTTTATAAATGATTTTGAAATTAAATGAAAGTTTAGTTTTTTATTAAAATTAATTTAACCTTTCAATGTCAATTCTTGAAATTTTATGGGAAGTATTTTTTTTCTTTTATTTAGTTGTTGGTTTTAACTTATATATTTAAATTCTTCTATAATTTTCTTATTCTAAACTATCTTGTTGCTTTCTTTTATATTTCGTCTAATGAAAATAGGGTTTTCTTAATGATTTTCGTTATCTTTACTTTTATTAGGAAAAAAAATTAAATGTTATATTTAGAATTCTCACAATTCATTGACACATGTTTCTAGGGCATCTCTTTAAAAATGATGACGAATATGACTTTGAAAAAGAGGGGACTAGGTGGTTCCAATGATATATTTATCTCATTGTATAGAGGATATGAAAGCATAAAGTTTGATAAAATATACCATTAACTATATTAAACTATTCAAAATGGGTATATTATTACATAGAAAATCAAGGATATATACCAATCTATGTTTTTACATTAATGTAAAAGTGTCATCCATAACAAATTGTGTTTTTACATTAATGGAGATTGGATGGAACTTAACTTGTGAAAGTGATTTGATTTTCTTTGTTTGAAGTTGCTACCTATGCCTCGTTCTTTGCATTAGCTTTACTAGGTTCTGTATTTACAAAATGTTTTATCATTCTTTCATGGGATTAGGCAGTTTTTTTTTTTTTCTTATCCTAATTTTGTTTTCTTAATTACTTAGGATTATGATTAGAGTAAGTAAATAAATAAGTGGTCCTCTATGTTTTATGAACATAAATGCATTCATACATTATAATACATCTCAATTATTTAGTTACAATATTTTTTTCTTTCCATGTCTAAATTTCCATAATCCAATCATTTTTTTTAATTACACTCTGCTCTTTTGAGAGATGGGAGATAAAATGTGTTACTATTCCTTTAAGTCTTCTCATTTCTTTCACAACTTTCAAAGCGTCCAAAAGTTCATTTTTAGTGTTATTTAGTTTTTCAAGAGTGTAAACTCCCCACCTATATGATTCTAACTTAAAACATGGATCCTCTCTTATGAGATTTGTGCATTTATGTTAATTTTATACTACATACGTTTTCATTGTGACTTATTTTCCAAATTTATCATGTAATTTGGTTAAAATAAGTTGAGTCTAATAACATTTCATTATTTTTTAAATAATATTATATTGTATGACTCTTTAATAACATAGATCAAATATTTATATAGTTAAACACGTTATAAAAATATTCATCATAAGATTGAACGATTTTGATCCTTAAGTTAAACTGTCAATCGACACATCTAATGTTAATTAACTTGTGACAAATTATAATTATTACCAATTAGATGATAATTAGATTGTCATTAATTTAAAGTTATTTTAAAATCTATAATTATAAATTTGAAATAAAAAAAGATAATGACATTTAAGAATATATTGTACAAATAACCTTTAAATTAGACCAAACAAGCTGTAACAAAAAAATAAAAACATCCATATCTTCAAAACATTTACAATGCAACCCAAAACAAACATTAATATCAATATCTACATATTTTTAAGATTTAGGAAAAGAAATAATATCACATATTAAAATTATTAGTATACTTAATAAAATTAATACAATTTCAAATAAATATTCTTGATTTCACATAAAATAATTGTGAATTTTAAACTGAAATGGTTTTAAACAAATATTAACTTTCATCATTAATTTTGAAAAACGGCGACTAATTTAAAATATTTTAAGCTTTTGTTTTAACCATGCCTCCTAATATAGTTAAAGTAATGAAAGCATTTCAATGAGAACCTTTTGTAGTTAATATTTCTTTTTTGTAATAAAAAGCATTATAAGCATTAATCCAAAACCACAATGAAACTAATTGGAGTTTTCATCATTACTCATTGCCAGCTTTTCGGGTTTTCTAGTTGACTGGATCCTAGTTGTGAATAATAAACAGACATAATTGCAGTAAAATAAATAAATAAATAAACAGACATAATTGCAGTAAAATAAATAAATAAATAAACGAACATAATTGCAGTAAATAAACTAATATGATGAAACTTTTTCTGATCATACAAGGAGATGTACAAATGTACGTTGAATTGGATGAAAAGATGTCTTTGTCCATAAGCAAGCTACTGTTTTCTGATAAGGAATTTTAAGTTTCAAAGAATTTAATTATTTCAAATTTAAATAGATCTTAACTTATTATTATTATTATTATTATTATTATTATATATATATATATATATATATATATATATATTCTCTTAAATTGAATTACTCTTTTAATTTTTTTTTCTATCTAAATTATTATAAACTTTATTGAGATATGAAAAATTAAATTGTTTCAAAATTGAATAGTTTTTTTTTCTGATTTTATTTTATGACATATTTTATTTTAATTGCCCGGGTGCAAATAACGAGTAAAACGAGACAAGTGTTCTACCCATGCATAAAAAAATATATTTAAATATTATTAAACTATATTATAACTTTAATTTTTTTATCATTTTACATAATTAAAAATAATAAATAATTGTAAAAAAAATAATAAAATGTTAGTAGTATATAACAGGATCAATTTATTTCAATTTAATTCAAATTCGTTTATCCCACAGATTAAATTAATTAAGTTTAATTTAACTCACGTTTAAAATAATTAAATTTTTTTCAATTAAATTTCATAATGAGTCAAGTAAAATCATAAATTTAACTTATATTGACATTTAAAATCTCTAATTTAAACCCTATATAAAATAAATTATTCAGTTTTTTTATGAGATAATAATTTTTTAAGCGCTTTATAATATATTTATATCCTATTTTAAGTTTATTTTAATAAATTCTTCAAAAATAACTTAGATTTTTAAAGAGGCATCAGTCCAGAGCTCAATCCACAGTTATTTAATTTTCTTTACATTATTTGTTATATTTAAAAATTTTCTCTCTAGATTTTTTTCTCTTACACTCATCCACAAGTACACATTAATAATTTTTTTTCTGTATATTAGTGGTATCTGTCCTATATATAATTACCCTGTTGAAAGGACACAAACATGATGTGCATCTCAAATTTCACAATTGAATTGATGTTTTTCTCTTGTCAAAAAAGAAAATCACAGTCAATATAAACAATAATGTGGTATAGATAGCTCAAGCTATAATCAAAAACTTTATTTTATTCGTTATTTGGCCGTTTGTGTATGAAATAGTTCTGGAGGGAAGAAAATTAAATAAAGAAAGAAACTATAAAATATTTTAAAAAAATGTTTTATTTCATTTCTTTTGCAAGAATTGATTCTCTGTTATTTTTCGGGTAGTTTAAAATCAGCGTAAGTATTACTTATACAAATTAATTTTGTTTATAGACTAGATTTTAAAATATAATTATTATTGGAGCGATTAAAATCACCCCTATGGTATAATTGATTGTTTTAATACTGACAAATAGTGTTATAAACATAATTATCTATATATTTCATTATAGTATGTATTATGAGAAAATAGTTAATGCATATAAAGTAAGTTTATCGTTTGAATGAAAAATCATGGAGGGTTCGGAAGTGATAAATTAATATAAATATTGTGAATGAGAACAAAGTGAGTGGTATAAACCATCGAGAGGAGTTTATAAAGATGCAACATAATATTTACACAGAGAGATTATGTTCGTATATAAAATATACACTTTGAAGTATTATTCGTATTTGATTATGAGTATTTATAATTAATTACTGTTTATCGTAATAAATCATGTGTGTGTTTTTGTTTTCATTTTTATTTTTCTATTATAATAATAATAACACACGATCATTAAATTCATTTATCGCATCTACTTTTTCTTTTAAACCTTTCAAAGAAATCTTATATTTTCTAAACGTTAGTATAAGGAGTTGATTCATAGGTTTTTTCTTTTTCATTTTCCATTTTAACTTTTACCACTAAACCAATATTTCATATGTAAAATACCATTAAAACTATGATTAAAAGATAGTTAAACTTTTTAATTATTTGTACACCGCACAAGTGCAAGTTAATAAGGATAATACAAACGAGTGAAGATATAAACAAGAAATATTAGCTTATTTAAACAAAAAATATATTTATAATACTAAATTTCATTTTTTTAATATTAATTTCAGTGTCAAAATATTATTATAAATATTAGTTAAAAGAGAACGAAAAGTATATTTATAATACGTATATTTTTCGAACATTAACTTTAGTGTTAGAATATAATTGTACATAGAAAGATTGAAAATCCAAAAGATTAAAGACAAAAAAAAATGAAGAAATAAAAAATTTATTTTAATACTTTCAACATTACTAAAGTTAAAGTTAAGAATAATTTTAATTTCTAAAACTTCTTTAAACACAAATCTGAAAAAAATCAAACTTTAAAGTGAATAATACATTGTAATCAATCTAATTCCAATAAATGAAAACATTAGCTTCATAGAATACTTATCTCACCGAAAAAAATAATAATTTAAAAGCACTTAACACTTAGGAGTGGAGGCAATAATTTTATAAAGTCAATTTATAAGAACAGAAAACACAGTGTTCTTGTGAGAAGTCTGTGTTAGAATAAAAGATATTTTAATTTAAGCGGTAACCATTTTTACACTCATTATATATATATATCTGGTGTTTCATCTGATATTTTTGGTGTGTTGAGGAAAAGAAAAATGGTTGAATTTGTTGTGTTTTAAAACTTAATAATGAAGAAAAGGTTATTATGTGATAGGAAGAGCTGAGAATAATATTGTCGTAAGGGAAAAAGTTTGAAAAGAATAAGAGAAATATCTTTTCTGGCATCTAAAGCGTATCTGTCTCATCAAAAGGACGTCAGAAGAGAGAAGTGTATAGGGTATGAGTGAATGATGATGAAAATGAAAAATATTACCATGGGAAAAAAAAATCAGATAGGCGAAGGTGATTGGTTGAAAGGGAAGAATGAAAGAGGCATAGGCATATGTAGAGGAACGTCAACCTCACAATCCTCCAAAAATCAATCAAAGGAATGGTGCTTATAGAAGAGGCTCTTTCTTTTTCTTTTCATTCCATTTTGGCATACTTATTAACAGTGAGGGGAGTGGGAATTGAAACACCACACAATAAGAATCCCATCTCAAACAAGACACGTACGTTTGTCACTTACCATACAAAAGAAACTCTGTGGGCGACGTGTAATCTAATTTCCCACCCACTCCCTTTGCTTTATTCCCCACACAACCTTCTCCAATTTCAAATCTCTTCTACACAATTCAAACTCTCTCTCTCTCTCTCTCTCTCTCTGCATGAAAAGATAACAGCCAACCCTTCATGGCTCACCGATCCTCTGCTGAATCTCATGACCAGATTCCTTCAAAGTCATTGGACCTTAACACTCTCCATCCAAGTAAAGATATCATCAACATGGAGGAGCAGCAGCAACAGCAACAGCAACAGCAAGACCCCTTATTCTCCCTGAGCAAAATTAACCGTGATGGTATTGATAGAGATAAGGGTGTTACAGAGGAAGACCCGTCTGCTTCAAAATCCCTTCTTTGCGAGGAGGAGAAAATGGCATTGCAGGAGGCTGCTAAGGAAAGTAGTGTAACAGAGGGTTTAGAAGAGGATAATGGACGCGAGAGGCTGAAGCGGCATAGAGTTGAAGTGGCTGGGAGGGTTTGGATTCCTGATATGTGGGGTCAGGAGGAGCTGTTGAAGGATTGGATAGATTGCACAGCATTTGATGCCCCTTTGGTTCCGAGCAGAATCTCCACTGCACGAGAGGCTTTGGTTGAAGAGTGTACAAGAGCAAATGCTGCAGGACTAAGAATAGAGAACAGGTGTTAGATTTTTCGTTTCTGTGATTCACTTTAACGACAACCACATATTCATCACGGATTGTTTAGTAATCATATAATCTTTTATATAATCCGATTTGTTTTTTCTTTATGACAATTACGTTTTCGGGGATTTTTATGATACATGTGAAAAACTCAACCAACATTTCGGAAGTTAAAATTTGTAAACTGTCAAGTTCTTATATTTTATTCATTGTGACTGTGTTTTCAGTTTCAGCACTTGTCTTTCTTTCGAGAAAAAACAAGTCATTAGTTCAAGCAATTTCCCAAATGGTCTCTCGCTCTGAACAAACCTTGACCCTTAAGTGCCTGAGTTGAAGCTTCCAATGTGTAATGTACATAACTTTCAGCCTTCGAGAAATAATTACGCTTGTGTTTTAAAAAGTTTAGTGCATTGGAGTTAAAAGATGCATCGTTTCTAACTCAAGCATATTTTATTGCAACAAATGCCAACGATTTAAACGAACCCAATTTGGATAGAAGAAATTTTATTTACTAAAACAGAAGTGCATCTGTTTAGTCACGATTCATCAAAACTCTTTCAAATTGTATGGTCAAATGTCAAATGTTCCAGTACTCATCAGAATTAATATAACAGTTCTATCTACAAAAAAAGTGAAGGAATAATTTGCATTTGGACCCTCATGTCATCTAACTCTGTAGTGTATATCTCGATATTTATGATGCTAATTTTTTTATACACTAGTCCTTCCTGTGCAGTATACATCGTTGGCCTTTACAAATGACTTACCGGGGGCATACTAGTGAAAATGTGAAATTTACGGCTAACAAAATTTAGTGAAAACTCAAATGTAGCTTTGTGACCCGTCAAGAAATTGTAGGCATGGAAATCAATTCGAACATCAAGTTGCCACACCGTTATTAGTGAGTATCCTTACTTTTCACTCTATCGTTATAACTAACGAAAGTAAAGCATATTTACGATCCCAGTTCAGCCTAGAGTAAGAAAATTTTAGCAACTCTTGAGCAAAAATGTAAAGTTTAGTTGACAGTAATTACAATTTACAGTCACACTCCTGACTTCCCTAAAAAATACAATAATCAATATCTGTTTCAAATTTGTAGTAAATATAACTTAAGATAATAGAAAAAGAACTATGAGGGTGCCTAGACATCTAGCACTTCTATAGGCACCAATGTAAATTTTTTGTGCTACTCATACAGCAAATGAGAAAAAACTATCATCATCATTATGATATCAACTCCCACACCTTGATTGTCCCATCATCGCTTGCAGAGGCTAGCAGCGGCTTCTCCTATTTAGTAAATAAAACTGTTACCAATTGCAGAGACAGACACAGGTAGGAAAAAATGCTAATATAGGTCACCATTCTCTAAATATGTAAACGATTGTTTGATTTAAGAAAAAATAATCGTTTCTATTTTCTGTTTACTTTTAATACAGAATTTACTTTCTAGTTTGTACTTGATTCTTTGAAAGATTTGAGCACGAAACAATGAAAAGAATAAAAAGTTATCTTCATTGCTCCTATACAAATCTTAAAAAACAGGAAACAAAGTTGTATTTATAACTAACAGTGAAAAAATAAAACTTTTTTTCTCAAATCAAATGGCCCCTAAGATTTTGTAAGTTATTAAGTTGTCCTAAGCAAACTACATTTTCTTTTTAAATTTCTTTTAACACGAATGAAAATGTATTTTATCCTTCGTGATGCAAAGTCTACCAATGCCTGTCAGTTAAACACATTACTGATAATAGATGCCAACAAACCACGATTACTTCATTGATCATGCAAGTTATCACAATGATATTAAGAGGGCATATTCAGACACAGACACGATAAGCTAAGAGCATTATCTAATTTAGCAGTGAAATCCACTATTCCACCCACTCGATGTGTGTGGAAAGAGATACTCATTGCATTATCAATGCGTTTCCATTAGAGTAGCGTCTGAGAATCTTACCCCAGGGCTCCACTGCACAAAATTTACATCCATGTCATGGGCCTTCTCTTTCTTTAGCAGCAACTTGTAGAGAGGACCACCAACCTAAGCAATAAAATTGTCAGTTTTGACCTTTTTTTTTCTAGATAGTGGTATGCATCTACAATCTACAAAGACACAGTCAATTATTTAAAATCCTTGTGTTCAATTTTGGTCATTATTTTACCACACAATCATAGAATCTCATAGTAGTTTGAATTTTTCAGGGACTTGGATTTCAATGATTTATCTCTTAATAACAGCACAACTGTAGAGGTTCAAAACACCCCAACGTTCGCAGACACCGAGAAGAGCATCTAAACAAAAGGATCCGATGCAAGTACGAAAATATACATTGAAATTGAGAAGGGAGATTATTATATTAAGAAAAAATGGAAACCAGCTGCTCCAGCTTGTCAGTAAACTCAAACAGTATGCAAGAACATCATGCTAATCTCTTCAAAATAAAACACTGTTCAAATAAAAACTAGATCCAGATAAAGAAAGTTGCGAATACAGTTAATATTATGACTGAGTGACTGGGCGTTGTCTGCATCTATGTTGTAAATAAAGAAACATTTGGCATTGGTTTGTCATGTCTTTTGCTACTCTTGTCCTTGTTAGCAAGTACAAACAGATCAAGAAATTCCAGGCTAATGATATGCACAAATAACCAATAGCACTATAGAATCACGAAGTGTCTGATTTAAAGTGCGTGATTTTACAGCAGAAAGGAAACTAGTAATGGGCACAAAGAATCCGGTGCTTCTCCTTTCTGTGCAGACTCTTCCTACACTTTAGAATAAACATGCAAGGATAAAATATCGATATGCTCCCACTGGCATCCCTACTGAATTAAAGTTACAAGTCATGATAAACAGTGACACTTGCTCTCCCCACCAGAAGTCAGAATGAGGAACAAAGAGGTCCTTAGGATGAGGGACCAACAGCCACAGTTGATCAGCAGATTAGATTTTCTTATCTTTAAAACCAGTAAATTCACAGCATAGGTTAGCTGGACATTTAAACTTTAAACCAAACAAAGTCTTTGCAATTTATTGTGCAGCACCAACTAAGTAACTGATATTCTCTTCTTAATTAGGATACCCAATATATGAGAGAATTCTCCAGTAGGAGAACACGTGCACTTTTCTGAGTTTGAGACATGAATATTCAAGTTAACATTCCCATCTTAGTTTCTAAAATATTCAATTAATAAATTAGTCCCAATCATAAATACTTAATTTTTTATAATTACACACTGCATCCTGACAACCGAATTTATCCATTAGGCAATAAGTACACAAAGTACATTAGGAATGAATAACCACAATGTGTCATTTGAACTGCTTATGTTATTGGGTAACTGCGGTAACTAGTAAACAATAGGCATACCTGACTTTCATTGTCATCCACAAAAAGGCGTATAGCATCATCAGCGGCTCCACTGGCAAAGATACCTTCTCTGTCATACCAGCACACAGGGTACATAAATGTCAGATTTATAAAAAGAAATGAAATAAGATGATACATCTCACATCTGATATCATGATAACAAACAAGTCATTATATTCATCTGGCAATCAATTAAGAAAATGGAAAGCAATAAGTGATGAACTAACGTTTGATCCACAGAATGTTGCATACATAAAAAATCATTCATACACTTCTCAAAATATCAGTGACCCAAAGACTGAAAGAGGGTAATCCATCCACAATGTACGAAGAAAGTCAGCATAACTTTTAAATATGGGGGTTGACCATAACATAATAGCTCCTTTAATCCATAATAATGTTGCTTAATTTGACATCATCAACATCGGGAATAGACATAGATAAAAATAATGGCATTCTCAAAGGCACACATATATTATAGATAGAAATTTCGTTAACAAAGGCAGCAAGTTTATGTAAATGCCCAGTTAGACGCAAGTGTCATTTTACCTTGACCAATGAACTGAGAAAATTGTCCGATCATGATACCCTGTAAGAGTGCAAAGATGTCTCCTGAAATTCCAATAAGAAAAAATAAATAAAATATCCGGAAAGGAATAGAGTATATTAATATGCCTTCATTATTAAGTGATATGCTATAGTAAAAAATAGTATTATGAACATAACCAACCTATGCGATTGATTTTATAATATTTGAAAGAAACTACCGATGGTGTTTCAATCTATTCCAAACTATTATATGAATATAGCAGAATTGATAGTCAGCTATAGTAAAAATTAGTATTATGAACACAACCAACCTATGCAATTGATTTCATAATATTTGAAAGAAACTAACGATGGTGTTTCAAACTATTCCAAGCTGTTATATGAATATAGCAGAATTGACAGTCAGATTACAACTTCAAAGATCAGATATATCAAAATTAGACATTTCAAAATATTGAGTTTAAGATAAAGTAGGCAGGGGAATCGTGAGACAATAGCAAGCAAGCAATGGATCATGATGTAGTCAGTATAGTTATCAATCTCAATGGACACAGTACAATGCCTAACTCTAAACTCGCTATAGCAGGATAACAAGATGGACACTATTTTAAATAATATAATACAAACTAAAAAGTTTATAGTGCGCATATAAATCCTCAAAAACAAAAGAAAACCCAAAACTAATGAAATTCAAAATAAATAATAGAAGTCACAGTTTAAGCAAACAACCACCATCAATCTAGGTTCAATAAAGACATAGTAACGAAGTCAAAATTTGAAAGAAGATGACGCAATTATTAGAAAAAATAGATACAAAACTATATCAAATTATGATAATGTGAACTGGAAAGTTGAATGGGAGAATAAAGGATGAAACAAAGGAAAAAAATATATCCTTAAAAGTCTGAAGGAAGAAAGGTCAAAACAGAGGTAAACTTCATAGTAGCCAGCTATGCTATTTTTGCCATTATTATGACCGAATGACAATTATTGGAAAATCTTCACTATTTGAATCCCATAGCAAACCAGGGCAGCTCCAGTCCACTACAGCGTGATATTGATTAGTGTGGAGGGATTAGAGAAGAGTTCCTAAAATCAGGATGTTAAGAAGGGAAAGAATTAAGCATTAAATATTCAAACAAAATCTGGTTTATTTACTTCTATTGTTCCACTCGAGACTGTTAAAGAGCTACAGGTTATGTCATGATACACTCTACTTCCAGTCCATACGCTTTATCCCAAAAAGTAGGTCCTCTACCACTTTACAATGTTCCTCTGGAAAAACCAGTTTCAAGATTTAAAGCAATAATCCATAATAATAACATCCGTACATAAATGTGAATGGCTAGCATCAAATAACTTCTAATAAAATATGAGATGTCCAATACATATTCTATAGAAGGGGAAAAAAATAATGTAAGAGATGCAAAAAGGAAACTAGTGAAATACTAACCAGGGTGCAAACCCACCACCAGATTGAATCTCTGTGTTTTCTGTTCCCCAGACCTTCACGGTAAGATCATCGCTGCCATGAAGGTTTGCCATAAAAAAATGTCACAGAAGTTAAAGAAAATGATAAAACAATTAAACACGCGAGCAAAATAAATTTTGGCATACCTACACGAAACCATTCTGTCACCACTCGCATTGAAGGAGAGAGCCCAGACAGTGGAAGTATGTCCGCTGATAAATAACAATGTTTAAAATAAATAAATTAAATTAGAATTAACAATAACGATAATGGCCAACATATATGCAAACTACATTTTACATAACATACGGAAAAAAACACTCGTTGCTACAAAGATAAGAAAACCAAGAGGCTATAGACTTGAAGGTGATGGAAGAGATCAAGAAGTAGTACTTATTAGGCACCCCAAGGGTTTGGACGCATTGCCAATCGTCACTATCACCTTCATCCGCCCAAACCTGAAAGAAATGCAGTGTTAATTTTGTACATTGCTCAATCATTCATCCGCAAAGGAAGCAACCACAAGTAACAAATAAAGAAAAAAAAATGAAAATAAAAAGGCAGAGCCACTTTAGCCTCAGCGATACCTTAATATTATTATCATAACTACACGAAAATAAGATATCCTCTGTGGGATGCCACTTCACCATTTTCACATCCTGCGCGTGTCCTTGCAGCACAGACACGCACTCAAACTCATTCCCGGGCAGAACTTCCCATATCCAAACAGACTTATCTCTACTACAAGTCGCAAGCAACGTGCCAGACGCATTCCAACACACACTCTTCACTTCATTTTCATGTCCCTGTAGTAAAATCGCATTCACCTCAAAGTAAAGTTCAACTATCAAAGAATAAACATCCTAATTCAACAAACAAAAAGGTTGAATTTAGCAATAACCTACCTCCAAAGTAGAAACACACTCAAAATCGCCACCAACATTTTCCCAAATGGCAGTGGTGGCGTCGAAACTTCCAGTGGCCAAAAGCTTCCCCGACGGTGACCAAGCACAAGATCGAACAGTTCGAGTGTGTGTTTCTTCCAAAACCGCCTACATTCCATTTCCACAATCAAAGTAAACTATATCACACACACAATTTTCTTCAATTGTAAAATACATCAGAGAATTGAATTTCGCAACGATTGAGAATGAAAATTGATATGAGAAAATACCTTGCAAGCCCATAGACCAGAGGAGAGGTTCTGCTCCCAGATTCGGACGGTTTTGTCGCCGCTGCAAGAAGCAAAGACGAGCGGAATACCGGCGTGTCCAGTGGCGGGGTTCCAATCCAAGCTCCAAACCCCATCGGTGTGACCTTCGAGTCTCTGAATCTCTTTCAACTCCATCGTCACCAATCGCCTTCACTCTCAGCATACACCGTAAACACTGACCCGTTTCTTGATTCTCAACTTTCTACTCTGCTATTTCCTACTTTCTCACTCCTCTCCACGCCACGCGTCAGAGAAAATTAGTGAAAATGATTTTAACAAACAGACAAAAACAAATCACCAATTGGGCCGCCGCAAATTCACCACGGGGTGAGCGCACGGGAAAACTAGCTACCTACTGATGCACCGTTTTTGGGTAATCCATGGGTACCTATCAAAATTATACCATTGTTTTAGACTTCGAATATACAATTCGTATGAATCATACAGAAAAAAAAAGTGCCTTGTAATACAATCACATTCGAAACTAAAACGATAATTTCCTTTTTCTTATACTGAATTTACTTCCTATAAATAATAAAACGTGTTATTTAATCCTACACAAATGGGGAGGGATTGAGGCAAATAATAAAATTTAATTGAGCATTTAGATGATGTTCAAATTTTGCAAAAAAATAAAGTCCATTATTTTAGAAATTTTTAAGGGATCTGTATAAATTTAGGTTGCGCTTAATCGATTTAAAGCATCTTATATTTTATTTCATCTAAACTCTATATTTCAGCAAGTTTATTTAGAGAGATTAGATGCATTTTATTACTTTAAAGAGTTAACTTACAATACAGCTAGTTTCGTATTAAAACATTGTTTACTTATATAGGTGTTTTGGTTGAAAGATGATAGTAACCATTTTTTCTCTTTCTAAATTATAGCCTTTTGATATAATTGTAGATATCATTAAACAATTAGGAAAAAAAATTGTGTTGTGGAGTAAAGTAGTTGGGAGGATGGAGCGTATGATTAATAATAGCAAAACTTATTTTGTTGTTAATATTCTCTAATTGTTTCATCGTTCAATATAATAATTTATTAAGTGTATTACTAAGGTTAAATTCTATTTTACAACATCTCAGTTTGTATATGTGATACTTTATAAATTATGTCATAAGAGTTATAACAATCATACATAATAATAAATAAACAAAATTAATCATAAATATATTATTGTCAATGGATTATTGATAACCGTACTTCAAAATCTTTTATTTTGTTTAGTTTTTTTATGTTCTTTTCATGTGGTTGAAAAAGACATAATGCAATGTTTTTTTAAGTTGGGTTACACCGATCAAGTTATTTATGATTTAAAATGATTAAGGATTATGTTTTACTTTTTATGATTTATATATTGTTTTAGCTAGTTTAATTGTTTTTTACATTGTGTAGTATTCTTTTGCCTTTTATATTTATTTTACTATGACTGGTGATAAAAAGATTAATTAAATGTCTTCATCTTGATGAGGTGATGAGGTGAAGGATAGAGGTGTCTCTCTTAAATGTGTTCACTTGAGAGACATGATTTGAATAATAGAGAATTGATGAATTTTAGAAAAAAAATATGTGTTTTGTAATTAAGAGTACATCTTTTGTTCAAATTTTATTTATCTTTTATTTTGTTTGTTTTTTTATGTTCTTTTCACGTGGTTGAAAAAGACATAATGCATTGGTCTTTTTAAGTTGTGTTACACTGATCAATCAAGTTATTTATGATTTAACATGACTGAGGATTATGTTTTACTTTTTATGATTTATATGTTGTTTCAACTAGTTTAGTTGTTTTTTACACTATGTAGTATTTTGTTGCTTTTATATTTATTTTATCATGATTGGTGATAAAAAAAATGATTAAATGTCTTCATCTTGAGGTGAATGATGGAATTGTTTCTCCAAACTTGATGGAGATGTTTTGATGAATAAAAAATAGATGAATTTGAGAGAAAATTATGTATTGTTTTTTCAAAGGGATCACAAGTGATGGAGAGTAGATTTGAAACTAAAGTTAGTGAGGGATTTGATTAATATAATAAAAAAAACAATGAATTAAAAATTAATATTATTAAATTATCCCTAGTTATAAAAGTAATTTAAAACGATATTTATGATTAATATATTTTTTTAAACACAAAGTTGGTTATCTTCTTCTCCAGACATTCAAAGATTGTTTGAAACAACTTACATATCAATGTCTTTGCATGATCTAATGTTATGATTATTTGTCTTACCTTCATATGATTCGTTCTCTTCACATTTGGTATTCAACTTAACTTCACTGCCACTTTAGTAAAATCCGCAGAAAATAAATAAAATAATATACATTTTATTTATTTATTTTATACTAAGATAAATTATTTTGGTCGTGTATTTACGTGTTAAAAGTGCTAAATTAATAGGTAGAAATTAATTACAATTATATTATTTTGTCTTATCTCTATATGATGCATAAAATATGTGTTAGATATCATTGTTTGCATTTATATATCTGTAAAATTGAATTGGTTTAGTGGTGATTAAATTAGATATTATTGAAAAGGTCATGTAACCAGTAAAAAATTGCTTTTTAACTTGCGGTATAGGCATCGGTTTAGGAAAAATCGAAGTATATCAAAACGCAGTGGCATTTTTGTAGTTTAGGTGAACTTATACGTCTCGGTTCAAGGGAACCCGAAACATATAAGTAATATTACCTCGATTCATAGCAAAACCGAGGCCTAAAAGTTGCCTGACACGTCTGACTGCAGTGAGCCTATGGTTTTGATTCAGTAAGAACCAGTGTAAATCCATGTTTATGCCTCGGTTTAGGCGGAAACCGAGGCATATAGCTATTTCATTTTTTTTTTAGGACTATATGCCTCGGTGGAGAGTGAACCGGTGCCAAAAAAATTATCCTAGATATGATGTTTCATTTTCCATTTCCCATTTCACGTTTCACTTTCACTTTCCCTCATCCCCTCCCTCCTCTCCAGCAACCCCTCCCTCCTCTCCTGCAACCTCTCATTCTCAAGTCCCCTCTCCCTCAACTCCATCATTCTCTCACTAGACCAGATGGCTTCTCCCTCTGCATCCCCAGGACGGTGCGGTGACGGTGCGACGACGCGAACCGAGACGAGATTTGACGAGACGAGACGAGATGAGACGGTGCGGCGACGGTGCGGCGAGGCGAGAAAGCTCTGACGGCGCGGGGAGGCGAGAGAGAACGCGACGGCGCGGCGAGGGAGCTCGCGACGGTGCGGCGAGAGCCCGCGACGGTGTGCGAGACAGCCCGCGACGGCGGCTGCAATGGCGGAAACCCTTTTCTGCGTTTTTTGGTTTTTGATTTTTGGTTTTTGGTTATGTTTCTTTGCAGGTGGATGGCTCAATGGATCTCTGATTTTTTGTTTTTGGTTTGGATATCTGATTTTGGTTTGGATCTCCCGTCTGCTCTCTCTGCTTCCTATTCCCCCTTCTTCTGAGTTTGACAAATTTTGTTCAAAGACCATGGATATGAAAAACATTGCAGACAAGAGAAAGAAGTTTAACCACAAAAAGAAAATAAACAAACATAAGAACACTGATCTCGGTTCAAAATAAAAAAATTAAAAAACTTTACTGCCTCGGTTGTCTGTGAACCGAGTCATAATCTGAATCCTTTTGATTCGGTTCAGGAGCGAGCCAAAAAATCCATTTTTTTACCTCGTCTGAATATGCACCGGTTGTAAAACCGGTGTCTTTAAGTGAAAATAACCGAGGCGGTATACCTTAATTGTACTAGTGAACTATTTATGAGTACTCATTTTTCTATTAAACATTGTTACGCAAAGTCACTGACTTGTGTCTTTGACAGGTACCCTCCCATACAACTTGGACAAAGGAGAGAGCATACAATGCAATTTGGATAATGGAGATCATCAGGAAACTCATCCAATCTTCAGAACAACTTGAAATGTTTTAAGTAAGGGATCTCAATCTTTATCCCAAACATTTACTTTTATTATTTATTAAGTATTGTTGTAGATAATTGTTTTATATTTCTATACTAATATATCAATTCTTAATTGTTTATGGTGTAAACCCTTTTCTATATAATCTCATCATTACTACTTTGGTAATTACTTTTATGTTATGATGGTAATTATTTTTACCATCTTATAAAATTTGAACAAGCATGCAATTGTACTAGTTTTGTTTCCCTTAGTGTTGTGATAAACAGTGTAAACACATTAAATTTGATTTTGAAGTAAAATGAATAAAAAAAGAGTTCCATTTTAAAATAAAAAGTTGCATTTTGTATTTTTTAATTTAATTGTATTACATTTATGTTTTATTTCATTACTCACTAAGTTCATAAATTGAAATACGTTATATTTTTATGTTTGTATTCTTTAAATAACGAAATAATAATAATAATAAAAAGATTAGTTATTGTATCTTAAAGTAGAATCGCGTTTTTAAACAAGTTTTTAACTAAAATCGTGTTTGTATGTTTCTATACAAAGTTAAACACGTGTCATTTGATTCAAGATCTTGAATGTAGTAATAATAATAAAAAAAAATTCACACTTAATATTGTGAATTTGGACAATATGAGTAATTAAATTAATTTAATTAAAAATCACAATGAAAAGTTAAAATAAATTAATTTGTTGATGTATATACCTTGTCAAATATAAGAGATATCGATTCAATTTGACTAATATAAATTTATAAAATATTTGAGATATATTTATTTTATAAATATATAACTAAACATCGTTTAAATATATTATCATATTTTTTGATATTATATATTTATTAAATATTTGATATATAAAGTAATACTATGTCACGTTGTTATTATTTTTTCGCTAATTATTATATATTTAATAAATTTTTATATTTATTAATATTATTTAATATTTTTATGACATTATTCATTTTTACATAAAAACTCATAAGGTCATGAAAACTTATAAATGTAAATGGTATTGCGCTAAAAAAAAATATATATGGTTGTCTTTTTTTTACTCATATACTTATATTGATTTTAAAGTTCTCTTGCTAACTTAAGCTATAGAGAATCAAATAGATATTTACAACTAAAATTTTGCTACTTATTTAAAAATTTGGGGTTAAATATGTTTTTCGTCGTTTAAGTATCACACGATTTTGGTTTTAGTCTCTATTCGAAACTTTGACGGTTTTTAGTTTTTATAGTTTTGAAACTCTTACTATTAGTCCTTAAAATTGGACGACATTAACTTTTAATAGACGTGGCTAACGACCAACCCACGTATGATGCCACCTTCCCTGACTACTTTTAATTGACGTGGCAGTAAAGGTGTGGTGGTCGGTCGACCTGGTGGGTGGTCGGATGTCTGGTGGTCGGTCGGCCTGGTGGGTGGTCGATCACTCGGACTGGTGGTCGGCCGACCTGGTGGGTTCTATTACAATCAACAGAACAATGCAATAGAAACAAACTATATAAAAGACCGAACGGTGTTGGGCAAAGACCGAACGGTGTTGGTGACGGGTGGAGTTCAATATATGAAAGACCAAACAGTGTTGGGCAAAGACCGAACGATTATGGTGATGGGTGGAGTGCAATATATGAAAGACTGAACGGTGTTGGAAAAAGACCGAACGGTTATGGGCAAAGACCACCATGCCGACCACCAAACCGAGTGGCCGACCACCCACCAGATCGACCGACCACCACACCTTTACTGCCATGTCAATTAAAAGTAGTCAGGTGACATGATACGTGGGCTGGCCGTTAGCCACGTCAAACAAAAGTTAATGCCATCCAATTTTAAGGACTAATAGTAAGAGTTTCAAAACTATAAGGACTAAAAACCATCAAAGTTTCGAGTAGGGACTAAAACCAAAATCGTTGATACTTAAAGGACGGAAAACATATTTAATCCAAAAATTTGTGTTTCGAAACCTGAACCGTTAATCAAATATGATAAACAAAATATAAATAAAAAAAGAAGACAAATATAAAATGAGAGTTTTACAAAATACATACAAAATAATGTTAATCATAATAAATTTAGTATTAACAAGAGTAATTATATTGATTATTAGCTATGACAATGGATTGCATCAACACAGATAATGTTTATATATTATCTGACCTATAATAAAAAATTTCACTTCTTACCGGTTTAAACAATACTTACGAACTAAAAGTTCTAAAAATAAGTAATTTAGAAAAAAATATTTTATAAATTTTTAAAATAAAATCTAAAGAAATAAATAAAATTAAGTATAAATATAAATTAAAATTTAATATTAATTAAATTTAATCTAATAAATTATAAATTAATTTTAATTTTCACTAAATTTAATTTAATAAAATATAAATATCCACAAATAAATAATATGATATCGCTTTTCATCCATTTGTAAATAAATATTAAAATAACCATTAACCATAAATAATAAATATACATAATTACTAAAAGCTGTATGATTATTTTTATCATCTTAATTATCATAAATTATTATATAAAGTAATAATAGTAACCATAGTAATGAAATTGAAAACAAAAATTAATAAAAATGATAATATGATAGAATTTAAAGTTTTTGCTAAATCACTTTAACCTCGGAAGACTCCTTCAACAGTTGTAACTTAAAACACTACTTTCTCTCTCCTATATTCTTCTAGTATTTCTTTTCCGGAAATACCTAAATTGCCCCGTCCCTCCTTTTAGTCCTTCTTCTCCCGCAAGATTTCTCAAAATTTTAAAATCACCCGCTGCCTCTCTTTTTTTCCTTCAAGAATTTCAAAAACCGAAACCCAAATCTCTTCCTATATAAACCCCTCAATCTCCTCCGTCAAGCGCCAATTCTCTGTTCTCTTTTCAAATTTGAATCCAGCTTCAATTCAAGAACCACGACAATGCCTGCAATCCCCGAAGAGCCACTCCTGGCCCCGAACCCCGACCGCTTCTGCATGTTCCCAATCCAATACCCCCAAATCTGGGAAATGTACAAGAAAGCCGAAGCCTCTTTCTGGACCGCCGAAGAGGTTGACCTCTCCCAAGACCTCCGCCACTGGGACTCCCTCACCGACGGCGAGCGCCACTTCATCACCCACGTCCTCGCCTTCTTTGCCGCCTCCGACGGCATCGTTCTCGAAAACCTCGCTGCCCGCTTCATGAAGGAAATCCAAGCCGCCGAGGCTCGTGCTTTCTACGGCTTCCAGATCGCCATCGAGAACATCCACTCCGAGATGTACAGTCTCCTCTTGGAAACCTACATCAAAGACTCCACAGAAAAGAATCACCTGTTCCGCGCCGTCGATACCATCCCCTGTGTCGCCAAGAAGGCCCAATGGGCCTTGCGCTGGATCGATGCCACCGACTCCTTCGCCGAGCGCCTCGTCGCCTTCGCCTGCGTTGAGGGAATCTTCTTCTCCGGCAGCTTCTGCTCGATATTTTGGCTCAAGAAGCGTGGCTTGATGCCCGGTCTCACCTTCTCCAACGAACTCATCTCGCGAGATGAAGGGCTTCACTGCGACTTCGCGTGCCTCTTGTACTCTCTCCTCAGGAAGAAGCTCACCGAGGAACGCGTGAAGGAGATTGTGCGCGAAGCGGTTGACATAGAGAGGGAGTTTGTGTGCGACGCGCTTCCTTGTGCGTTGGTGGGGATGAACGGGGAATTGATGAGTCAGTATATTGAGTTTGTCGCGGATCGGCTACTGGGTGCGCTTGGATGCGGGAAGGTGTACGGTGTTCAGAATCCCTTTGATTGGATGGAGCTTATATCTCTCCAGGGGAAAACTAACTTCTTTGAAAAGCGCGTTGGGGACTATCAGAAGGCTTCTGTTATGTCTAGCTTGAACGGTAATGGAGGGGCACATGTATTCAAGATGGACGAGGATTTTTAACTTTTTAGAATCTTTGCTAATTATTTTGTTAGTATTTTAACTTCACTCATTCTAATACTGCCTGTATTTCACTGTACCATATCTCCAGTTTACAATAAAGTTGTCGAATTGATAAAGAAAATTGTGTTGTTGGTGCCCAAAAGGAATTTGATTCTGTTTCCTTGTCAACTTTTTACTCTGTTGATTTTTAATTTTCTTTGAATTCTTTACCATGTGATAGTTAGAGTTTTCTTCTTAGTCTTCTTTACAGTTTTGTTTCAACTCCAATGAGTGTCTTGGGCTCCTCCAATTCTATGTAGAGATGTATTGTGGACGGTGGATATATCATATTAATTGAGTCGGTTTAACAAATATCCTTTTGTCAGCAGCTACCATGTTGTATTTTCTTGAAGTTGTGTCTGGTTTCTTGAAGTGATAACTGAGATGTAGGAAGCTCTTGCTGTGGTAACTGCAATTACAAGACATATACGGAGATTGTTGTCGGTATATTTCGGTGTTTAGTTTATATCAGAGTCTCATATTTCGTATAATTATTTAATCTGTGTTGTCGTTAGAATATCTGTGTAAATTCAGCTCAGCTGGAAATTGCAGGGGCAGCAGGATCACCACCACCAATGTCATGTTCGAATGTGTATGTCGGTTTGTCTCACAACGCAGCCTAATTGAATATTTATGTTTTCCTTATGCAAAAATTGTCTAATGCTTTTTAGAGGTTTTTTCATCATTATGTAAATCATAATGATATAAATTTTTTAAAAATTTCGCAGATGAAAAAGTTGTGCTGAAGTTACCGTAGATGAATTGAAATTGTGTTAATTTTAAAATAAAATGAATGAAAATCCTATGAGTTGTGATGACTTTTAATTTGAATGAAATGAATCGGAATTGTATTAATATATCATTATTTTAATTTTAGATTATTTTTTATATAAGTGGTCGTAACTTGATACTCTTTCAGTTGATAGTATACTACTTTATTTCATGTGTAATTAAATTGTTTAGTTTTAGCATGATTTCTTGTTTATGAAATTGTAATATTTTAACAAAATTCTTTTAAAACCTGTATTATTTTGATAATTTCATAATAAAATAACATTAGAAAAATTACTTTTCAATAAATAGCAATGATGAAAAGAGAAACAAGCAATATTATAATAATAATAATATTATTATTTTATTACTAGACTCTTGCGATAAAGAGTTTTGGACATGTATAAGCAGTTTTATTAATTTTAATTATTTATGCAGTTCTTACTAATGTATTGCTCTGTTTCTGTCTGTCTGTCCATGATGCATCTAATAAATTCCCTGAGGTGATAAAGATGATCACACTGCAAAAACTATTTTGTATTTTTTTGCATAACTGTTGGTGAAGTTAGCAATCCCGATTGCTAAGCTAGGAAGCTAGGCTTTTCCTCTTCTTTTTCTTTGAAACTTGAATGCCCTTATATAGACATGAAACAACTGTTGTCGTTCTTATAAAAAAAATACAAACATTTTATTCAACAATTATTATTTTAAGTGCGTATTATGATAGATAATTGAGGATTTCATGATTTTTCATTTTAACACGGTTTTCCATGTAAAATATTGAATTATTAATTACTAAAAGAATGTTGCAAAATGATGTAATGTAAGAAGCATAACGGCAAGTAAAACAAAAGTTCTAACCCATCTTCACCCTTTTCAATTCAGAGCTTATCACAAATTAAAATTAAACTATTAGAGCTTATCACAAATTAAAATTAAACTATTTTGAAATAGAACTAATTAATAAAGTAATATCAGAATAAGAAAAATAATTAAGGGTAGAGAATTACTTCCTACATCAGTTCACATTGTTCCTTGTACCATCACGAAAATTCTAAAACTCTTTTATATTTTAAAATATTCTACACCTTTACATTTTTTCTTCAACGGATATTGATATCCGTTGAAGAAAAAATATTTCAACAAATATGTCAAGTTAGTTAACGGATACGGTCAAGTTTTTTTTAGTTTCTCATTTATTAATTTAATATCTTTTATATATTAAGTAAATGGATGTGCTACATATACATATGTAAGGTTTTTTTTTATTTTTAGTTTATTAATTTATTATATTTTAAATTAATATATAAATATTATTTATTTATTTTTAAAATTTATTATATAATTATATATAAATTAATTTTATTTTATTTAATAAAATAATAATAATTAATTTAATTTATATATTATTATTTAATTAATTATTATAATATATTTTATATTATTAAGTAAATGATGTGTCACATTCGTAAGATTTTTTTTAATTTATTAATTTATTATATTATAAATTAATATATAAATATTATTTGATTTTTTTAAAATTTTATTACATAATTATATAAAATTAGTTTTATTTTATTTAGTAAAATAATTATTATTAATTTAATTTATATATTATTATTTAATTAATTATTATAAAATCTTTTATGTTATTAAGTAAACGGATTTGATCACGTAAGTTTTTTTTTAATTTATTTAATTTATTATATTTTAAATTAATATAAATGTTATTTAATTTTTTTAAAAATTTATTACATAACTATAAATAAATTAGTTTTGTTTTATTTAGTAAAATAATTATTATTAATTTAATTTATATATTATTATTTAATTAATTATTATAATATTTTTTATATTATTATTAATTTAACGAATATGGTTACATCCGTAATTTTTTTTTATTAATTTATATATTTTAAATTAATATATAAATATTATTTAATTAAATTAATATTAATTATTTAATTAAATAAAATAAAAATAATTTTTGTAATATATTATAAAAGTAAAAATTTAAAATAATTTATAAATTAATTAAAATATAATATTTAAAAAACTAAAAAGAAAAATATTTAAACGGATGTGACATTTGAATATAATTAATTAAAAAATTGTATATGGGATATAAAGGATAAATTGAGTATAGGATAATGTAAAGAGTAATTAGTGGTGGTGGAGGGAGCAATTTTCTTAAAGGCATCGTGGAAGTTTAATTGTGGGTGCAGGAAGCAGCCTGAACTGTGTAAAGGACTTGAACCCAGCCCAGCCCATTAAGAGCAAATTGGGCACACAAAGCGGTCCGAGTGGGCCCGAAAAGTCCGTGTGAAACTGTGATACCGATCTCAACTCAGTTTTTCTTAGCGTGGTGAAGGAAGAGAAATAGAACAGCGAGAGAAAAAGAGAAAGGTAACCTAGACCTAGATTGGTGAATCGAAGTGAGGTGCATCTGCAAACTCAATCGCCATGGAAACTGTTGCTAGAAGAAGAGGTGGAGGAATTTTCGAAAGCCTTTACAAGGTTGTTATGCGTCGCAACTCTGTCTATGTTACCTTTGTCATCGCTGGCGCTTTCCTCGGAGAACGGGTCCGTTACTTCCTCTTCTTTTTTCAATTTAGGTAATTGTTGTTTTAATTTTCTTTTGCTGAGGATTTCAATACTTGGTTCCAGGCTGTAGATTATGGAATCCACAAGCTCTGGGAGGCTAATAATGTTGGGGTAATGAAGCTTCTAGATTCTATCTTTAATTTAATTGCGATCTATGTTTCATGCTCTGTGATATGCTTTTTGTTTTCTGAAACGGTAAATTTGGCCGCTCAAATTTAGTTGGATTGGGTTTTGTATTATCGGTAAATCTTAGGAGCTTTTTTTTTTAACGTTTTAAAAGAAGTTAATCTTCTAATTTTTATAATGATTTGGTTCCCAACTTGTTATGATCATAGACAGTCCATGATATCTTTAGGCTTTCTTGCTAAATTTGTAGCTCCGGTTTTAAATAGTTTTCTGTAGATTTCGGATTTCCTATAGCTTCCTGTAGGGTTATATCTTCGTTTTAACCTAATCAATTGTAGCCAACATACGATGGGGTCGATCTTTGTGACTACCCTGGTATGGGGTGAGACCTGATTGTTGTTGTATTGTGATGTATTTCTTTTTAGACTATTGGTTATGTAGATCAGGGTTTTCAATCAACTCAGCATTTCTTCTTATTGCAAAATAATACATGATTGATTACATCATTATTAGTTTTAGAATTAGATTATGATTTATGTTGTATATAGTTGGATATTGCTCTAAAGGATCTTGATTAGAATTAGAGCTCTATAGGCAGATTCAGAACTGGTATAATAGTGATAAAATTGGAAAGGTGTGGAAGCATTAGGAGGAATGGTTTTTATTTGACTGGTTCATATTTGGTTGTAGATTATAGTAATTACATCTATGCCAAGTTCTAGTTAAATAATTCTGAATATGTACTTGGTCTGTTGAATTTTGGTAGTTAGATAAGGAGGCTTGACTATGTTCGTTGTTTCCTGTATTTGGTGCTACTTAACATGTTGCTGTTGAATTCAATCTATATCAATACCACTCAAAGGCAATTTGAATAGAGTCTAACATCACTATTGGACAATCATAATTTTGGTTGCACCAGTCCATATCAATTGTTTTGTTCAAGTTTTGTCAGCATAATTATAAATTTACCTTTCCCCAAGAAAAAAGAGGCAATTATAAATGTTTTTCTCCCTATAATTTCAAACCCTGTCCACCTCTTAGCCTCTGGGTTACCCTTTCTCATTTCATCTTCCTTGTCTTGAGAACTCAAAATTTATCAGAGGGCACGAGTTGGTCCTCGCGATCAATTCTGTTTCCTTCCCCTCATAGCTAGTTCTCTCTTTTTCCAGTAAGCTTTCTTCTATGTTTGACCCGTCTTAGCAAAGGGAGATGTTGTAAATGGTAAATCTATTAGTCAAAATAAGGTAGCATAATAACATTTGATATATGTGCAGAACAGAATGAGTTATATTTCATATCTGGGTCGTTTAAAAATATTTTAGGACAACTTAAGGTTAGAAAATATTACATTTTTGTTCTGCTTAAAAGTGCACAGAACAGAATAGGATATTCCATTTTTGTTTTGTTCGTGCACCAAATGCTACGTAAGTGTTTCATTATAATAATAATTATTTGCTGAAACAGGCAAACTGTTTACAAAACTTGTTGGTCAGGATTGATGTCTCGATTAAAACATATGCTGTGGTTGATATTCCATTAATGAGAACGGGTGTTGCCACTCTCATGTTTCCGTTATCTCCAATTCAAATGATTATTAGATAAAATACATGCCGTGGTTGATATTCCATTTTTATATTTTATTAGTTATATATGAATACTCACTATTTCTGACTTGTGTATTGCTCTGCCTCATTTATGCAATTTCGAAGGAATCGCAGTTCATGATTTCACTTAAAAATAGATGGGATTCCTAACTATGTGTAATTTTGTATTGTCGATCCCATCTATGCTAGCAGAAGTATGTTATTGTTTATAGTGTTAAACCTATTGCCAACCATCAATTTTCAGGATTGTGGTTTACAATGCTATTGCGATCGCTTACTATTTAAGCTGTTTGTTATTTTATCCTTGATACATAATTATATTTTCTTGTGCAGAAACGATATGAAGACATTCCTGTGCTAGGGCAAAAGCTGTCAGAAGAATGACTAATTTGTTAGCTTTTTTCTAGTTTTATTATATTCTTGAAATTTGAAGTGAACATTAAGAGCTGGAAGCCGTTTCCATTTTTACAATAAATACCTTATGCTTGTATCTTTCAGGCTTTAACTCTAATGCGTGGTTTCATTTTCTGGCCTTTGAACCATCGCAAAATTCTGTATTTTTTTGAAACCATTTATCTGGAATCATTGGTTATGAAAATTGCAGACTTTCTACTTATCCCATTCTCTGAAAGTTGAAAGATGGAAAATCTTTGATGCTCAATATATTTAAAAACATTAACTAAATGAGTAAACAACTGTCTGAGTTTATTGTCACCAATTGGTACAAGTGGATGAAAGAAACAATGAAAAGTGCTAAGCTTACAATTACAAGTCAAACTAGCCTCAGTTAACTAAGATTCTGCGAAGCATGCATTTTAGTCGTACAGAAAGATGCGACCTACTGCTAGCAGCAACTTTTACTCGAGGTAATAGATCACACATCTACTATCCAATTGCAATCTTAAATTTTCAATCTAGCAGCAACATTACTCGAGGTAATAGATCACACATGCAATCTTAAATTTTCAATCGTTGGACATAATGGTAATGATTTGTTTGACTAAATTTGTTTTTCATAAAAACAAATCATTCTTTTCGTTAAAATAAATATCCCTTTGTATCTGGTAAATAGTTTTGAAATTAGATGAAAGTGTTGCTACTTTCATATTTGATCATATAAAAATAAGTTATTTTCCATTTCTAAAGATATTCATAATCCTCACCCTATTACGAAGACAAAAATATTTTTGTTATATTTAATTTTTTAACATTTCATTGCTAAAGTTAGCATAAGTTACAAGAATTCGAATTACCAACTAGAAATACTATTGAATTTTAACTCTTACTATTCTAGGTTGACAATTTTTATATTTAGATATATTTAATATTTTTGTATTTTATTTTTTATAGTGACCATTTAATATACATATGTAATTTAGTTATGTAAAAAATACTTTAACTATTTGATAGACATATTTTTATATGTAAAATTTACATGTGAAAATAAGATCTTACCTAAACTATTATTTCAATGCATTTTACATTTTTCTAACAATTTTGTGCTAGCAATACATGGTAAAGGGCCAACTATAAAGTAAATATTTAAGAGCTAAAAAGTTATTTTTGTATTAATAGTGTACATTGAAAATGTAATTTTATTTTAATTTGATGAGATGGCTATGGTTTTCCAATCATAACCATTTGCTTTAATTGAAAATATAACCTTTACTAGTAAAGTTTTAATCATTAAAAACAAGCTTTTTCTTCTGAAAAGTAAACTAATTATAATTGTACTTTTAGTTAAAAAAATGGAGATACACTTACTCAATAAACACTTCGTGATAGAAATTGATCTCAGTAGTTTCAAATACATTATGTATAAGCTTTCTATTGCTTTCCAACATAAATGGTTGAAAAGTAAAATTGAGGAGTGAAGTGAAAATCGCAGAGATATTGTGTGCGAATATTAAAATCAAAGCGTGAGAAGGTGGAAAAGAAGCGGAATCTCTCTATTGTTGGAGATGATCACGTTATCGGCGTGATTGAAGACGAGGCTTCTGGAAAGATCATTGCGACGGGGAGCGTGTTTATTGAGAAGAATTTTTTGAGAAATTGCGGCAAAGTTGGGCACATTGAGGACGTTAAAGAGAATCATCAGCTTCCTGATGGAGCATGCGCGTTCCTTGGGATGCTATAAGGTTCATTCTTGATTGCAGACTCGATAATAAGGCGTTCTATGAAAAATGTGGCTTCCAGCATAAATCTCTTCAGATGGCTATGTATTTTGCTCACCACTAGTTTTCTACTATCTCGCCTTCTCGTTTGGTATGCAAATTTATTTCTCATATAATTCCCTACTTTTGTTTCCTTTTACCTTCAGAAAAATTCCCAGACATTTCTGATTACAGTCGCCTTTGTTCTTTTTCGACCTTAAACATGTGTTTTGTTTTTGGAGTTAATTTTTTCAACTTTTGTATGTACTTCCAAATAGGTCATAATGTAGATGGAATGGTGCATGCTTCATTTTTCATTTACAAGGTTTTAGAATTTGTATTGAAAATTGTTCGTCCTCCCGTATTGTGAATATTTTTTTAACTCAAGTCTCGTTATACATATCACGTCCAACCTTCCACCGTGCTTACAGCTCAATCTAACTTAAAATTGTTAGAAAAACTATACAAGTATAAATCCTTTTTGCCTATTACATGAATCTTTCTGTGATGATAAAACTACACATAATACAAAACTGAAGCTATTAGCAATTTAAAAATGAACTTCCAGTAGCATACATGGATCGGACAACATATGGCAGTTCATTTGATATAAACTTAGTGATGAACATCTTTGCAATATTGGCAGAAATCCCATAGACAAGATTGAAGAATCCAGCCGCATTTCACCAGGGTCACAAATGAATCCAAAGGAGGCAGCATGGAGGTTGCACTTATGGAGACAAGAATTGAGCTTATGCAGCCGCAGTCATAGGATTTGTCTCCACTAAAGCAAAAGGTGCATTTCAGAGGATAAAATATAATCATTGATTAAAGAATTAACAAAATAATTCAAATAACTTTGTTATATACGTTCATGTATTTGGTCATTATCACAACAGTTAATTTTCTAAATATAAATTCATTATCTTCTAAAGTGTGTTCTTCACTTTATAGAAGCCAAATATGACATACAAACCAGATAATGAAGTGACATACAGCAATTTGAACTACGCATATTGCAGATTTTAAATAGCATGACCAAAATTGTCACATGAGAATATGCGGCGTAAAAGAGGAAATACAAAAGGATGAAAACAACGTGGTGCATATTTAGCCTTACATCCTGCTATGTCATTTTTGGGATGATATGTTTGTGGGAAAAAAACAAAACACTAAAAAGCAAATTCCGGCCTAAAATTGGCCAAAACTGTGGGGATATCTCCTAGTTTCCCTAATAAACTACTGTCATCATACAAACTGTATATACCTTCTTTTTTCTTTCACCCTGTACGTCCGCCCTGTCGATTCTGCGAAGATGATCCAATGCTTATTAATATCTGTTAAAAAATCTACTAAAAAATTATACATCTCTTTGATTTGTCAAAACATGTTGAAGGTGTGCAAGGATCTGCAGACAAAAAGGTTGAAAATTAAGTAATTTCTTCACTGTTGGCCCAAAACATAATTAGTTTTCGTAAGAACCAGAAAAAAATAGCAAATATGCAAGGGAAAAGAGTAAATGACGACTTAAAATTATTTCATGACTATGCCTTTAGAATTTGACACAATACAGTAGGCACTAAATTGACCCTTCAGAAGTTTGACAAGCAAACTTTGGATACCTTTGGCCTCAACAAAAGTACTGCAATTGTCCAAGTACTCAACAACACTGCTTCCAGCTTGGTTTTGAGTTCTTAACTATAACAACACTCCTTTCTGAACCGATCAATGGTGAATAGATCAAATGATACCACTTCTGGTATTTAATCAAGTGGCATTAACACAGCTCCAATGGCATATGTCCCGGTCAAAATCAATGGGACAGTACTACAGCCCCCATGACACATCTCATGGGCGAGTGCAGATTATCTACTGGTTTTTCGGTACTACCGTCTACAGTGCCTCCAATTTACACTTATTTTGCAGAGAATCCAAATTCCTCCCATCAAGAAGTTGCAGTTATGAGACAAGGAGTTTCGTCGTTTCAATCCACCACACATGTTTCCAATTCCCTTACCAGTTCAGTTCAGAATCATTTCACAATCACCTTGGCCCATCAACACTGTCAATTGAAATCCAAGTTAATTCTTAAATATTTGCATCTTCATCGATAAAATTTGTTTACTTGATGGCATGTAGAGGGCCTGCAATTAGACAATCCACTCATCAACTTATTATATGAAGCAAGATTAGGTATAAACCCCCTATCCAACATTTCATTCACCAGAAACTCTCCTTTCTCCCTCCCTCCCTCCTCCGTATACCCTATTACCAAAGTCCTATAAGTCATGTCATCCGGTTCCAAACCCTTGCTCAAAGCAAGTAACATCAATCTATTCGCCTCATCGGTTCTGCGTGCATCGCAAATATCCCGAAGAACACAATTGAAAGTCACAACATCCAGCACCATACCCTCATCAAGCATCCTTTCCACCAATCTCTGCACCTCATCGGTCTTCCCCAACCCCCTCAACCCATCAACCACAGCAATAAAAGCAACCAAACTCGGAACACTCCCCCCATTCCACAACTCATAAACAACTTCCAACGCTCTCACAGCACACCCTTGCCCACACAAAACCTCCACCAAAGCAAAACAATCAAACCCCTTAGGCAAAACCCTCTTTTCGGAAAACTCCAGCAACAATTCACACGCCTGTAAAACCCTCCCTTCCTTACAAAGCCCTTGAACCAAAATCTCACAAGTAACACACGAAAGCTCACACCCTAATTGAACCATCTCGCGAGCCATCTCAATGGCGTCCTCAACCCTCCCCTCTCTAAACATTCCCCTGATCAAGGTATTGAAAGTAACCACATTGGGCTCGCACCCCATTTTCCCCATCTCTTGAAACACATCTAACGCCAACGCGAACTGCGAGTTCCGACAGTAACCACTTATCAAAATGTTGAAGGTGAAAACGTCAGGCTTAACGCGGTGGGTAGCCACCATCTCGCGGTAAAACTGGAGGGCTTGGCTTAGGTTACCGCGTTTGACGAAGGCGTGGATGAGGACGTTTAAAACGGCGACGTCTGGCTTGGAGTCGATCAGTTTAGTCATGGAGTGGAATGCGGAGAGGGCGTGGTGGAGTTGGGAGGATTTGGAGAAGGCGTGGATGGCGTGGGAGAAGATGGGTTGGGTGTGGGGGCAGCAGAAGATGGAGGGAGAGCAGGGGCAGGGGTGGGTGGCGATGAGGTGGAGGAGGGCGCGGAGCTGGGGGAGGCGGTGGGTGGCGGCGAGGGTGCGGGCCATCCAGTGGAACGTGGCGTGGGTGTGGTGGAATGAGTCGAGGGAGGAGGCCCAGGTGAAGAGGTGGAAGTCGAATTGAGAGAAGGAAGGGTGGTGGTGGAGCTTCGATTTTAGGAAGTGGAGGAGGGTGTCGGGGGTGAACGGCGGGGCCCAATGGGCCTTCAAGAAGTCCAGGAAGCGGGCATAGTGAACTTGGGACACGGGTGTGTCTGAGGGTGGAGAGGGAAGAGGGAGGTTGGGGATCGCTGAAGAAGGTTTTACTGTTGCCAATGCTCTCGCTTTCATCAACTTCTTCGACGCCATTTTCTGTTTCTCAATCAGACCTAATAATTATCTTAAAATGTTCTTAAAGTGAAAAAAAAAAGTTGTCCTAATTTTTTTGTTTATTGTAAATTGTAAAAATAATTTTAAAATATTTATTAAAACATTTTCGCAAGAGGAGAAAATCACAGAAGCTTGTAGCAGCGGTTCGGGGGTAAAGTATCTGCAGAAGATGGACACGTATAAATAGTCCGTGCCGCGAAAAATCATAAGGACAACAAGTGGACCGAAATCGCGGAGAGCAACAGAAATTTCAAAACGCAGAAGTAGAAGGAAGAAGAATCGTGAATCAAATTCGATTGAAGAAAAAATGTTTCCTGTTTGCAACCTTTCTCCTGTTTCTCTGCAACCGGGCATGGTGATTCCGGTTCCCGGAAAATCTACCGGACAGTCTTCGTTTCTCTCTGTCACCAACTCCTCGTCTTCCGGCGAGAGAATCAGCACGCGCCCAAGTACTATTTCGCCATTCGAATCCCGAATCTCACTCGTTTTCGCTCTCGCTTCTCAAGCCAACTCTCTCAGCCAGCGACGTAAATGTTTTTCTCTATCCAACTTTGTGATTTCTTTCCTTCTCTTTCACTCTTGAATCTCCCTAACTAATAACTAATTTTCGTGCCGCAGTTCTAGCTGACGTTGCTGCCGAGACTGCCAAATACTTGTTTCCGAAGAGATTCGAAAGCCGTAATCTCGAGGAGGGGTTGATGAGTGGTACATAATTATTTTTTGTCCTATAAAACGCAAATTGCTGTTATAATGTTCACTTTTCTTGCGTAATTAATTGTTTCGGTGTTGGAGCTTCGTTGCAGTTCCGGACCTTGAGACTGTCGAGTTCAAAGTTTTGGGCAGAAGGGACCAGTATGAGATTCGGGAAGTTGAGGTGTGTGTGTGCTAGCTCTCTTTTCTTTGAAATAAATTTTATACTTTAATTCATTTCTTTTATAATTCTACATATATGTGCTTTCTAATATTTAATGCTAGAGTAAATTATACTTATCATCTATGAGATTTTGTGAAAATGTTTTTCAAACTGCCATTCAGGACCTTGAGCCATTCGAGTTTAAACTCTTCTTACTTTTTTAACATTTACAACAACCTCTCTTGTTGGATAGCAAGGCGTAATGTTTTTCAAAGAAGTAAGAGGGTTAGTTTCATGTATAAGAAGTGTCCGTCCGCGTAATGTTTTTCAAGCAATTAAAAGATGTTATTGTAAGGGTAAAGAAACACTGAAGTTGTATAATTTCACCAAAATCCTAATAGATAGTTAGCGTATTTACGCATAATTTTTTTAAGCGTTGCACTTAGACAATTGTCAGCCAAATATAATAAGTTATTGCATTTAGTGATGGAACATTATAACGTATCACGTGCTGTATCTTGCTTCTGTATTTAAAAGACTCTCCTTTCTTGATTTTCGTAGTCTTTAGAGGTTATATGTTGTTAATTAATTCCTTACATTTCCATGCCACGCTAAGTGCGTTGCTGTCACTGACAAACCATCCGGTCTTGGTAATGTCTTTCCTTGATCTGATGATTATCTTTGCAGCCTTACTTTGTGGCTGAGACAACAATGCCTGGGAAGAGGGGATTTGATTTCAATGGTGCTTCTCGGTCCTTTAATGTCTTAGCTGAGTACCTTTTCGGTAAGGTAGTTATATTTTAGAACTAACGACATTCATACATTTTAAAAATTTACTGTGTTGCATTCGATCACTACCTCCTTTTATTTTCCCCTTTTATTTTGAGAGAAGACATAAGTTATATATGTGTGCTGTTGTTTTCATGGTAGAATACAAAGAATGAGAAAATGGAGATGACTACACCTGTTTTCACTAGTAAGAATCAATCTGATGGGGTTAAAATGGATATGACAACTCCTGTGTTAACAACAAAGGTATTATGTTTATTTTATGGATTTCGTGAAATATCTCATTTTCAATCTTTATCTTATTTATTTTTATATGCATTGCCAAACAAGTTTAGCATAATTATATCCGTTTCAGCAAACATAACTTTAGCAACGTACCTTTATATAACTATAGCAAACATTGTCAATAATGGCAGTGAAATAATTGCATCTAACTTATTTTCATGGTCTGATTTTATATAGTATAATTCACAATTTAAAATCCATGTTTCTGTAATTCAGGTTCAATTGAAATAAATCTTTCATAATGATTCAGTAATGTCTAAACTACCCTGGCATATTTTTTCAAGCTGATTTTTCTTAACTTTATCCAAATACATAGTTAAAGGTGACGCCTGAAAATTCTATCAAATTCGTATGTTCTTTAACACATGGTCTAATTAATATGTAAAGTTTAAGTGTGTGAGATTGGATAAATTGATACTATTTTCCATCTTATGAATTACCTATATCTATCCCAATTAGACGGCGTTATAAGATAACACTATTATTTTAACCATTTAGTTCACAGGTTCCTCTTTCGTTGTTTTTCCCTTTTTGTTTCTGTTATGATATAGCCAGTGTGTGGATTTTGTGATATTATTTTCTGGAAGTTCTGTATTTAATAATCAATACAACTATTCGATTAGGAGTTTCTTTTTAATATATATTTGTAATTTTTGATGTTCTAATTTATTATTGTATTATCTTAGATTGAAGATCAAGACAAGTGGAGAATGTCTTTCGTCATGCCATCAAAGTATGGTGCTAACTTGCCACTGCCTAAAGATTCCTCTGTGACAATTAAAGAGGTGCCCCGAAAAATAGTTGCTGTAGTTGCCTTTTCAGGTGAGTTCTTGCCTTGGACATATTTCAGTAATTTGATTTCATTTCCCTTTTTAGGTTTTAATTGCGGAAACCCATTACTAGTGTAAATATTTAACTACCGGACAGTGTACAAATACAACACAATTGGTTTATTTCAATTTTTCAATCACATGTATATTTCTATGTATTTACGTGTGTATATGCATCTCGACGTGTTCCATTTTATTTTTTGAGAAAATGTGTTGCATTTTTATTTCAATTGAATAATGGTATGCCTGGGCATGAACCATAGTTGGTTAACCATAAAGTTATACAATAGTAAACTAGACCTGTTAAATGTTTTTATTTCAGCATAAATGCATAAAATTTTGTTCAAATTTAATTTAAAGAGCTCGATCAAATAAATAATTTTCTTGCCTTTGAGAATCAGGTTTTGTGAATGATGAAGAAATTAAGCAGCGCGAACTGAAACTACGAGAAGCTTTAAAAAGTGATAGTCAGTTTAAGATTAAAGAAGGAACTTCAGTAGAAGTTGCACAGGTTAGAGAATCTTAATGCAATATTGGGGTTAAAGGGAAGTTTACCCTTTGATATTTTTTTCTTCAAATGTAAATTGCTTTTTTATTTGCTTGCAGTATAATCCACCATTTACTCTTCCATTTCAACGCCGTAATGAGATTGCATTGGAGGTGGAATGGAATAATAAGTAGGAATAGTATTCACCAATTTGAGGTACTTCTGAATTTCCACCACTGATGCTGTAAGCTGTAAAGGTTGACCAGTTCAATATCATGTATCGGATTGCAATAATAGATTTTTTGTTCTCAATATTGATGCATGTCTTGTATTTTATACATACACACACACAATATTAGAGTGGGAATTGTACAATCAATGATGGAGGATGTACCAATTAATGCATGTTTAAATCTAGCATTGTAAAATTACATTTGGATGTTTTCAGAGAAATTACTTATAAAATATCTGGAAATAGAAAGACCTGTCAATATTAAGATTCCCCATCTTTTTCTGTTATATATGGATACACCTTTTGCTTCTATTTCTTTTAACTATACTTCTCTGGTGGTGTGAGGCGGAAGTTATCTAATAATTTGACACCTTTGTTTTTCTCCCTTTCGTTCGTTGCTGTGCTTCTAAACTTGTGTCAAGCGGAGGTTTATTCTTCATTTGAAGCATTAATGTTCCTTGCTATGTGATGAAAGCATAAAAAGAACAGCTAAATCATCCATTCACAGTGTAGAGAAAGATTATATTTTGTCTGAAATGATCAAGAACTGTTCCGTATCTGATGCCAGACTGACACCTGTCTGATTCTTAAGCAGTGCCTAAGGGACACCTATCTTATTCCCAAATGGTTCCTTAATGCCTTTGCACACAAAAGATTAGATCAATCTACGTAGGATTAAATAGTTCATGATTTTATTGCTTCATAAAAGATGTGCTTCGAATGCTGAAGTGAGAAAGTATTTGAACTAAATCAAAGACAGTTCCTAAAACAAATCAAACTCCACCCAACTTGGCTATATATTTAGTAGGTGTATGTGTAACTCAACATTTCAATTTTCTTTTTTATCCTGGTTCTGTTCTGTTGATATTAAAACAGAGTGGAAATATGTAAGGTGGGCAGTGACAAACTCTGTGTCCACTTTTTATATAATGATGGATCTGTTGAAATTTAGCTTCAATATTCTAGATGTGTAGCTCTTTCTACGGATAAAAAATATCTGGAAACCAATAGTTTATTATTATGTTAATGACTAAGAGGGAAGGATACCCTCTAGGAGTTAGGCATAGTGCTAAGCAATCTTTGCTCCTAGTCCTAGGGGAGGATAAAGGTTTGTGCCCTGAAGATGCAACTTCTGAAGAGGACTAAACCTTATTGCTCCGTACCTGAAAGGACTAGTCTTACGCTTGAAGGATGCGTGAATACCTGTGAAACAAATAAATAACTGACAGGAAAAGAGTGTGAAATACTGCATTTTAAGAAATGGCATTTTACACAAGGCAATATGTTGGTACGGTGTCAATTGTGCTATAACTGAGATTTGAAACATCTAAATTTTGATGGTTTTTGTAGAGTCTTTTTAGTTTGTGGATATTATATGAAGAGAAGATTTTTATTCCATTTTTGTTGCCTTTATGATGGCAGAATATAAGATTAATGAAAACTTAAATATAATGTTTGTGAAGTTTCCTGGACTTCATGATCTCTTCCTTATCTCAAGTGTCATATATCAGTTTGGGAGGGTTGGATTGAATTGTTTATGTATGTATTGACAAATATTATCACACACAGTAGCAATCATCGCTGGTTTTTGTTTTTGACAATAGTACCTGTTCTAATAAAGAATTGATAATTGGTAACTTTAGAAGCCTACCACGTTGCCATGGTTGTTATGTATTAGATACATTTTTTAAAATTTATTTAAATTCAAATAAAGTATACTTTAAAAAAGAACAACCCCTTTCCCCCAAGTGAGCTGCCTTATGACAAAATTGATTGCTCATTAACCTTCCCCACCTTTTCCTTCTCTTTGTTGTTTTCCTGTTCCTCTTAAATATATGATTCTTTATGCCTTGTCACTTCCAACTTCCTTTGTCTTGTGTGCATGACTAAAAAAAAACACTTTTTATTCGTCCTGAGTTCTACTACCTTTTTAGGCTAGTGACTATTCCTCCCATAAGTGTCTAATACGGTGGCTTTAACAAGATGGTGATTGCAATGGGATTTGAACAACTGCACTGCAAATAAAGTCTACCCACATGGTAACTTGAGTTGCCTACTAAGTCACACTAGTTGAATTTTCACAAAACCAATTTAAAATGATAACTTTATTCTATCTTTTAGAACGTGATTCTGTGTCCTCACGTTAGCTTACTGGTATAGAATCTAAACATTGCAATCTGTTGCTGCAAAACAGTAGCAGAAATTTTTATCAACTGTGTTGGTACAATGATTATTGCCAAAACATGTCTTATGAGAAGGCAACCTTCAGTGGTCTGTTGTTTCTCACATAAATGTTGAGATAGATTAATGTGATACTTAAGTAGGAAATTTGATTAATATTGTACGGTTTTGATAATTTAAAATAATCATGCAGATCTAAGTGGTAGAGATTAAATCTATATTCACCATAAAAAATAAAATGGCTGTGGTTGAAATGAGAAGTTTTACACTTTCAACGAATATAGACGTTTTATCAGGAGTTGACCCGTCTCATCCGATTATGTATGGACTATGGAGTAGTGGCAATAATGGGAAATTGATCCAATGCAATAACAAGGAGAGCAGTATAGCATCATATTTTCGCCATAAACTCCAGTGTGAATGGCAAACATAATCATATTTTCTCCATTATTTATTCCTTTCATGGAACTTGTATTTGCATTTGAAAATTCCGTGTGAATGCACACTTTACCTAGAAGGCTGGGTGGTAATAACTAATAAAAAAAAAATCAGTGATTTCTAACGAATTCATCACCATACGATTTACAAGCATGCACAAAATAAAAATACATTTTATATTATTTTAGTTCATATTTATCAGATTTAACTTGCTCTACACATCCAACCACCATTCCACATCTTTTCTTATTTCTTGTTGTTGATCCGTTTTTATTTTACTTTTTAATTTAATTTAAATTACTTTTGTCCGTTTACATAATTCAATTGATATAATTAAAGTTGTAATAATTATAAATCTACATAATTATAGTAGATTACAATAACTACTCCAAGAGTTTAAAATTACATAAACATTTCATGTCATTTTATCTTTACAATTGTCTCTCTTAATTGTTTTAAAAATATTACACTTGGTATCTATTTTACATTACATAACATCCTTAACTATTTGAGAAACATTATAGTGTATCTGTATGGAGGTTGTTATAGCTGTTAAAAAAAAGGTGAAGATGTGTGTATAATTTCACGAAACTTCGACGTGGTTAGTACAATTTACTTGTATTATCAAATGTTCGTATCATTATTAGGAAACATCGTGACCATATCTTGAGAGATACTCAAACGGGTAAATATAGATTAAGAGTTGATAAAGTTGATGAATATTTTTGTACCCAAGACATAATTATAAAAAACAAATTACACAATAGAAAGGACACTGTAGAGAAGTAGAAAATACATGCGAAAATAAAATGATCCATAGTTAATTGCAAATATTAATTTTCTTTGTGTAAATGGCCATTACCTTTATGTCTGTCTCTCTCTCCATCCGTAATTTTATAATTATTTTTTAATAATATTTTATTTTAATAAATTATTATAATATTTATAATTTATTTTTATAAAAATAGATAATCATGCTCGTGGTATATATTACAGGGGGATATAAAAACATAACCTTAATTTATAAAATGAATAACTGAGAGGAGTTTGAGCTTTCACTTGAGTTTGTAGTTAATTTTTAAGTTAAAAATTAGAAAGATAAGTGATTAGTCATCTCAATTTAAAGCTAGAGTAGTTTAGTTCACAAGCCATATCCTAGTCTGTGGTTATTATCAACAAAAAAATTAGCCTCATCAACATTAATTGAGAAAATTTTGACAAAAATCAAGTCAGAAATATTTATAATTTGCATTAGTTGATAAATAATCTCTACAATATTAAGCCACACATAATTCATGTCAACAGCTAAAAACTATGACTTAAATAAGCTGAAAATGTTGTTTTCAACATTGATAAAGGTCCTGGCTTTCATAAATCAAAAAATAATTCTCTCACTGTTAGTAGAGAAAATCTTGATTAATTTTGCTTTGAGAAAAATAGTTTTGTTAATATTGATGGATGTTGGTGGAAAACAACATTAACTGACATCAACCCTGAAAATAATAAATATTAATATTAACTAAAAAAATTATATTCAACATTAACTAAAAATCTGTAGATTTCCATAAAAACAATCATAATTTTCATCAACGAAGGAATAACAGTAACTTTGAGAATAATGACTCAAAAATAATCATTATCTTTAGAGAAATGTTCATCAACAACCGTTTAACAATTATATTGAAATAATAATACTTTAAAGTAAATTGAAATGTCAACATATTTACCAAGTTCAATAAAAAATATCCTTATAAAATTAAACTGAAGACAGAATATGAAAAAAAAAAAGATTCAAAAATAAAATTTGGAGATCTATAATTTTAAGTAATTAAATTTTTTTCCTAAATTTAAAAAAATTAATTTGTTTTAAAACTTATATCAAAACCATATTATTTTGTCATAAAGTATTTTAATTATTTATAAAAATAGACCTTTTAAAAAAATTTCTCAGTCAAAGTTAAAATAATCAAACCACTTATTTGTTATTCATTGGATCTTAGCAGCCGAGTTGAGCCTCAAGCTTTTGCAGTACTTTACTATCTCACAATCACATACAACGTGCTTGCCTCCCTATTTTTTCTGCATATAATTGTTCTTAATTAGATTAAACTTAAGGTTAAAGATGATCGATTAGATTTTATGTAAGAAATCAGTTATCAAGAGTGTTCACTTAAATAACATTAATTATCCAAAAAAATTTACTAATACGCGTGGACCCTTATCTGTTTCTTCATCATCATATATTTTTCTTTAATTAATCAATAAATTTAAATTACTGATAAATTTTGTTTTATTATTGACAGATAAAATCTGTCACTAACATGCGTTTTTTCTTGTACAGTGAATCTTAGTTTCTTGATTGATCATATAGTTTCCATTGGCAATATCAATCAAAAAGCTACATCTCACTGTTCTGAATTACTTACGTTTTTGGTTTGATTGTAATGAGAACAGACAGCTAGCCTTGAGGAGAAAATACCAAAAATAAGTCTAAAGTTCTTTCCTTTTTCATCTATTGTGTGTTACACTGTATAAGGCAAGCTAGAAAAAAAAGGGAAAATTGATGCATGAAACTGTATTGGAACTTGAAATACATTGCTACTTTACTTCAGGTATGCTTTCCAACGCTGGTTTCCACCCTTGTGAGACATCATCATTCTTTTGAGACAAATCTTCAACCTTAACCTCATCAACTAGAGACAACATATTACTAACAGAAAACCCTCCATTCTGCAGCATATTCTGCAGTTCATGCTTACTAATAACAAGCTTGATCCTAACCACGTTACTTTTCTGTACATCTTGAACTTCTGGATCCGCGAACCTCACCTTCTTGTTAGTTTTTGGTGATGGTGGTGGTAGAGCCACAAGGTGGTATAACTGCCCTCTCACCAACTTTGTCTGAGGCTCCAGATACCGCACGACTGTGAGAGATTCTGATACTGCATGCCCAGAAAATTGTAGCAAAACCTCTTCCACTCTGATGGGTGTTTTGTATTCAAGAATTTTTCCATCTGTTTTCATGATTCTGACAACCTTCTCTTGCAGCACTAAGCAATTTCCCATGGCTTTTTCTGTAGTGGTTTTCTTGGTAAGCAAAGATGGTGGATTTGTAGTACCAGGCAATTTGGTTTTTGTGAATGCAAGAAAAGGAGCTCTGAAACGTGCAATATTTAAACCGATGGCTTCTGGAGAATACCCTCGTGTTGCGGCAAGTATTACGAAAATACCTTCTGCTCTTTTTCCTTTTTGTCTTCTTTTGGAGTTGCATTATCTATCTCCTACCCTCCTAGCCTGTTAGTTATTATCAGATAGCGTGTGGATTAATTAATAAGAAAAACATTTTATTTTGTTTTCTATTTAATTACATTTCATCATCCAATTTCTATTTATCTAGCCCGAGATATTCAGAGTTAGTTATGATATATTAGGAGTTGATCTCAAGATGTGGGATCTTTACTTAAATGTTAAAAAAATTCTATAAATATGTTACTATGGGTTTATAACTAAACAAATGGGTATAGTGACAAACCGTGGAATTGACATATCAAAAAACATCTCATGACTCCTATAAACTTTATAAACAGAGGATTAATTTCGAGGTAAACTCACCTTTTTATTCATTATAAAATTACAAAAGGCCTGCAGAGAAAGATTCTCACTTGAGCATCAGAGTATATTCTGTAGGTCACCCCTATATCGATCGGTTGCGCGAAGTATGAGGCCAAGAAAACGCTCGACACACAGGAGTAACACTTAGGCGACATCCTCGTCCCATTTCAACATAAACAAAATACAATATATAATAAAAGATAGTATTTTTACTCATTGTTTTGTATTTAATTGTGTTGTATGACCATAGGTTAATTTAGTACGAGACTGTTCACATGTTAACGAAACTTTTTCAGTGATTAAGCGAATGTAACGTACAAATTGAATAAATATTTTTAAACAATAATTAAATTTGATAAAATTTAATTTATTGTAAAACATGATTAATTGTTGATAATTTAAAATTTTCTTCAAAATCTAAAAATAATTAATAGAAATAAAGAGATAAATAATTACATTTATTATTTTTAGTATTAGAGTATTTTTTTATAAGAATAATGATACTTTTGACAATATTTTGTTTTTACAACATTTTAACATCATTTACGTGTCATTCAAGAATGTTGTCAAAATATCATTATCTCTTTTATAAATAACTTTTTAATAAATAATTTTTCAATTTGATCAAATGGTTTAAAGAAGGAAAAAAGACAAACATTAAAATACACAAAATTTAATAATCACATAGCCCCAATTTAATAACTGAAATAACAACCATATACATTATTTTATAATTTGTTATTAAATTAAGCGTTAGAGGAGGTGAGATTTTGTGACATGATGAGTATAATTGTGTTGTGTTGGAAGATTTGTTTGGAGAAAATAAAAAAGAAGTGGAGTTTGGGCGGTCGAAGGTGCACTCGAGCATGTTGGATGAAAGTGGGGTCCCGAAAAGCTCAAGTGGTTGACCACTTGTGCACTATGGATTTAGTTGTGTTGACTAAATCTCTGCCACACAGACTATTTCCTCCTCTCCCATCTCTACAGATTCATCAAACAAAAAAACATGCTCATGAAAGTCGGCAACAGTGTTGAAACTTTAAAACATGTTCCAAACTTTCCTCTTTTGTCTTTTCCAAAATAATTATGAAAATGTTGTTCATTTTCCCAAGAGATGACCATATATATTGGACGACAAAAACACAACAACAATGTAGTTGCTTATGTCAAACAACAAAAAGAATATCGAATATAAAAATTGCATAAACAAGAAAATTATTACAATATTTTTTTTAATATTTTTTTTTTTTAAAAGGTTCTTCTTACTAATTCTGAATTTTTCAGTACAGAGACATTTACGTGAGATTTACACACACACTGAATAAATTCTTAAGGATATTACTTCTCAAGAAATCAATTTAAATTATGTTATTATCAAATTTTCAACAAAATTAAGTTAAATTTAACATAGCATCACATTTATAAGTTAGAGAATATTATAGCAAAATTTGTTGTTAGTTTGTCAATTAAAATCTATTTCTTCACACTTCTTAGTTCTCAATTCATAATACTTAAATTCAAAGTTTAAGAAAATTTCGGTTACTTTACAAGTTGAAATACCAAGTATTGATAACGTAAAATATCATTATGGTGTTAATAAAATAACATTTCATCTCGTAAGAAGCTAGAATGATTTTACCTTAACATAGTTGAGTCATCCTAGTACATATTAGGGGAAGTTAAGGCTAAGAACTACCACAAAATTTACAATCTTGTTTGGGTTAGCAAAATTTATTCAAATTCAAACTTCAATAAAGGTAATGATTGTTTTGTCCCAGCATTTAATCGATGCTCGTTTCAAAAACGAAATTGAAATAAAGACTATATATATACCTTCTTTATCCTCTTCTTGTGATAACAGTTTCTATTGCTTGTGGTGTATATTCTTATAATGCACGTTTAAAAATAGCAACACCTTCTTCCAATAGAAACGTTGCTTTTAAGTTTTGATTTGGTATTGTTTGGAAACATTTGGTACAGGAATCTAACACCACTTTGGATTCATACACCAACATCGTTATCTCCGTCCATTACATCGTCCTATATATATTCCTTCCTATTCATTATCATTAACATGCTTTGGTTTGGTCTTCTGTCATTTTAGCTTAGTGGTGGTCCAGCTCACAAATTTTTTAACCAAATTAGTCACTGCCATGCTTCAACAGGATGTTCTTCCTAAAATTTATTAGGTACTTTATAATTACAAGTTCGGATACATCTCTTAAATTGTTCGTTACTGGGTTTGGCATATAGGATAAAGTGTACAACTTAAAAGATTTTTTTTTCTAACAAAAATTTTGATACAGTATTATGTTAATAAGGATAAATATCATGATTTTCTAAAAACTCATCAACTTATTCTATAAATAGGTTTTTATTATGATTATTGAAATAAGAAATATATCCTATATAGTCTCACGAATTTAAATTACATATGATTTTAAATATGTATTCTATGTGGTTAATTACTTTTCAATCGATCCTATCAATTATAATTTTGAAATGATTATTTAAGAGACTAACATGATATTGTTTATTGGGTATCTAGTTTTAGATACCTTGTAACTAGTAGAACTAATAGGATGATTACCGAATACGTTACAATGGATGAACTATCTATCAAATATCGAGGGTACTGATGATCGAATATCGAATATTATGTTTCTCGAATCAAATGTTACACTCATTCTCTCTTTATTAGAACAATATGTCGCCTACCAACACCTACTCCTGTTTACCAAAGACAGTTTCACATTAGGTAACTTAGCCAATAATGATTGCAGTTTATCACAAATAAGTTGACTATTAGGCCTATAAGCCAATGAACTCATAACTGAGACCCATTGGTAAGCAAAACACCCATATAAATATTATTAAATAATATTTTGATGTCACTTTTACATTAATTTAAATTTGACTAGAATTTCTTATCAAAATACTAACACCGTCAGAATATCTTGTATAGATATCTAACCATTCAATAGAAGATGAAGGAAATTTAGAGAACAAATATCAAATAATAAGAGTTCGTAGAATAATTAAAAAAAATTTACATAATACGTTCAACTCCATAAAATTAAAATACATATATCTAAATCATTAATTTAAATAATTCATAATAATCTAGATTTATATCTCATATCTTACATTTTAGAAATAACACATGTAAATATATATATATATATATATATATATATATATATATATATATATATATATATATATTGTGCACATCACTATATATGTATTATATAGATTATTATTATTATTTTATCATCTCAACCAATTCTTCTATTGGTAAAAAAACATTATTTTGTACATTTCTAATTATTATGAGCCAATTTTACATGTTTAAGAGAAATGTTTAATATTTTTGAGAGAGTATTTTGAAAAAAGATAATGAAAAGGCTTAAGATATATAGAAAGCAAAAGTAAGGTAAAGTAGTGGAGTGTGATGTTGTGAAGACGCATGGTTTAGAATAATGAAACTTCTGGAGGCTGTTGTGATAGTGGAGGTAGGAAGTAGGACTATTCAAATGAAAAATCTATGGAATATTAGAATTGCATAACACAGAAAAGGAAGTGCCTTTCTTACAACCTACTTTAACATCATTACCATTCATTCATATTTGTTCTTTCTTAGACAACCACCTTCCTTAAAATAACATTTAAGGATTCATACAATTTGTGTCAATTTAGCCTTTGATGAAGTGGAAACAAAAAGAATAAACAAGGGGAAAAATCTCATTTTTATCAAATTATTTCCTTTTCTATTCTCCTTTTTCTCTATTCTTTCAAAGATCTCATTTATATATTTTCTCTCTTTCATTTTTTCTATTAATAAAGCTTAATGCATAACGCTAATCCATTCCATTTAAATTATTTAATCATTTATTATTTAAAATAATAATTGATTTGACCATTTAATTTTTTTTTTTAGATCAACTCAATTTGAATGGATGACATGAAATAAAATACAATAACTAAAACATTTTATTTCGTTTTACATAGTTAAATTTAATTTTTTTTAACAAATATTGTTGCCTTTTATCAAGTAAATGGTATCTTGCAATTAAAGATGAAATATATGATGTATTTATGTACAGTATATGGCGGAGATCATCTTAATAATCTTATTTAATGATTCAAGTCAATCGAGTACATATCGATCACACAATCCGTTCTAGATTACAAACAAATAATTACTCTTTAATACAGAGTTACAAGAAGAATATGCACTTAATAAAGTTCATCTAATATAAATAATTATAAATAAATCTTTCAAAAAATTTATCATTTAATTATTATACACTTATTAGCTCACTAATAATTCATTTAATTTCTATTTTTACTTTCAAACAAAAAGTTACAATTTAATTTTCTCTTTCACTCCATTATTTTCCTAAAGAAGCAATACATAATAAGGATAGAAATAATAAATTTCTTTATCTAATAATTTTTTCCTCAACCAAATAA